GCCTTACTGGGGTTTTTGACATGCTGGGCCCCCTTTGACTTTCTGTTGACCGTCCTGCCTACGTGGCCGTGCTCCTTTAGACCCCGGAATCGGGGGGTGACACGTCTTGTACTTCTATGTCGTGTTGGAAGAAAGGTATTATAAGAGAGGCTTTGGACAATCATTCTTGGGATAAATCTGTTTTATATACTGATTTGGATGCAATAATGCTTAATCTCTTTTCTCCTGCAACTATTTAAATTTTGCTACACTTGTGAAAAAATCATTATGTTGAAGGGTCTCGTAATAATTAGTCGCCTAGAGCTTCTTAATTCTCAGGGCCGGCCCTGGTTTGAATCCATTCCAACCAATTTATTATGAAATATTTTTAGTTCTATACAATATTTTCCATAATTGATTAATAAGGAGGGGATTTTAAGTTTCAAACCTGCGACCTCCATTTAATATTTTGAATCCTGGGCCATTATGGCAACTGTTGAAATTTTAACAAGAAATTTCATAAAATAATATATATTAAGTTTCTGCGGTTTTAATGCAATTGCAATTGTAAAATTTCACGTCCATGCTCTTTCTTTGAATTATTCAAAACTTGGCCATGATGTATTTGGTGAGGACAACTAATTTTTATCACATAATTTTATCTGTTTAATTTGAACAAAATAATTGTTACATTTAAATTTTAGGCCTTGTTGATTCCCATTTTTTAAAATATATTTTTCTCTTCTTTTTAACCACACATTTTTCAATAAAATAATATTACACACAAATTAAATTTTTTTCTTATTTTTAACTACACATTCTCCATCAAATCACAATTTCAAAATGTATTTTTTTTTTTTGCAAAAATGGGCATCAAACGGACTCTCAATATTTTATTGCGGCCGACGGAACGATCAACGACCACCCGTGTCGACTCAAAATTCTGAATCCGCCCTTGTCCACGTCTCAAATCTACTAGTCACATGGAGTAGGTCATGTAAATTATTACCCAATTAATAATCATGTTACACATTAAACAAAAAAGTTATTATCATCCATTTTTGACAAATCATAGATAATTATGATTTCATTGACTAAAAAGATTGTCAAATAAATTATAATTACAATTGAAACACCCAAAATGTAAAAGAATACCTTTGAATTCATAGGGAACTTACTCGTCCATGTAATTTTTAATTCGATCTTTAAGTCCAAACTTCACTTTGAAGGTTATGACATATGACTCGTTTAAATCAAGAATTTACACAAAAAAAAAAAAAACCACTGTTCAGTATATGTACTTAGATTTTTCGATTGCAAAATGTTAGTCCCTATTTGTCTATTTTTTACTTTTATTTTTCATAATCATTTTCAACCACAAATTCATACAATAATTATAATATGTGCATTTAATTTTTCTTTTTACTAAATCCCTATTGTATATGTGGGTCCCGGTTTATATGGTTATAATGAACCAACATTAAGCCCCTGTTTGAGTCATATTATTTTTTTCATTCTCATTTTTCTACTCATTTTCAACAACACATTTTTCAATAAATAATATTCTCCATCACATCAATAACTTTTTCTTTTTTTTCAACCACATATTTCTCATCACATCACTTAAAAAAAATGCATTCTTTCATTTTAATGTGCACCAAACGGGCTCTAAGGGTGTGTTTGTCTCCATTATTGAAAGAAAAATAGAGTAATGAATAATATTTTTTGGAGAATGCGTGATTGAAAAGTAAAAAAACTTTATTGATTTATATGTAGAATATTTTATTTGGTAAATGTATGATGAAAAATCTTACCATAACAAGCAATTTTTTGAAATAACAGTAGACAAACATGGGCCAAATTTAGAAATACTAGTCAATTAGTCCTATCCCCACACATTCACACAATATTTTGTAGATAAATTTATATTTTTTCTCCACTTTTTATCATATATTCTCCAAAAAATCATTATTCAAAATTCTATTTTTCCTAAATAATGGTTATCAGATAATGCTTAAATTCTATAAATACATGATTGAAAATGAGGATATTAATTAAAATATTTTATTTTAAAGAAGAATAAAGCTATTTGTACAAAAAGAATTTGACAAAAATGTTGACAAACACTCACATGATTGCCGGCCCCACATGAATAAAAAATTGAAAATAAAAAGTGGACCCCCCCAAAAAATTTGACAAAAATGTTGACAAACACTCACATGTTTGCCGGCCCCACATGAATAAAAAATTGAAAATAAAAAGTGAGCCCCCCCACATGTGAGGATTTGTCAACATTTTTGTACAAATTCTTTTGTACAAGTAGCAAGGTTCTTTAAAGAAAAACAAAAGGGACTAATTTTTAATTATACATTTTTTAAAAAATCATTAAAACGTGGCAAAAAAATGCTTTAAGAAGATAGAAGCACGGGCCAAATCACGTGTCAAAGTGTACCTACCTACCAAATGGAAGCTCTATCCTTAAAACACCTGTCTTTCTCACCGACTCGGTCAAATCTCCTTTCCCACTCACACCTCTCCTTACGTTGCAAAGTGCCTGCAAACTTCTGCCTTGTTATTTCTTCTCTTCTTTAAGTCGCACAATCCAATTCCCAATCTCCCACTCACCCTCCACTTTCATACTCAAAAAAGTGAGAAGGCTGTTTCTCTCACTCTTTGGAAACTGAAATTCCTTTCTCTGTATAATTTTTTTCAAAATTTTTGAATGATGGGACGGTCACCTTGCTGTAAACCAGAAGCGCACACCAAAAAAGGGACATGGACTAAAGAAGAAGATGAGATCCTTGTCAATTACATCACTCTTCACGGTGAAGTCTGCTGGCGTTCCCTCCCTAAAGCGGCAGGTGTTGTGCGGAAACTTTTAGCACTCTAGGTTTTCGACGACCAAAGCTTTAAACATTGGACAAACTCAAAACCTAATTTTTTTTAAACATAATTTTGATCCCAGCTGTTGACTTCAACTAAAAGTAAACTTAATTGTAGAGTTAAATTTTGTATTTCCCATTTCCTTGCTGCCTAGTACGTTTTGTTTCTTTTTCTGCTACTGAAACATACGATTTGTGGAATATATAAATATTTATTGTTATAGGATTGCTTAGATGTGGCAAGAGTTGCAGACTGAGATGGATAAACTACCTGAGGCCTGACCTCAAGAGAGGAGACTTCACTCGAGAAGAAGATGAAATCATTATTAGGCTTCATAGCCTGCTGGGAAATAAGTATGCCCTTCTTCTATCGAATTAATTTTTGAACTTTTGGGCAAAGTTTGTTCTAAGCGCATCACAAATGAGATGATTTTTTTGGTGACTAAATAGTTTGATTGTCACGTTAGATATATTGATCCTTAAATTCGACTTATATATCGAGGTTCTTCTAGTAGTTATAAGCCATCGAGTCAAGCCTTCGACATTCCTTTCCGAATGGATGTCCACAATGGCCCATATTTAGTTAGCAATGTGGATTTATGTGATCATTCTTTTACTTGGTTAGTCCAGTTGCATTCACTTAGCGATGTAGGACGCACTTAAAGTCATCGACTTGATTTCTCAGTTATACTCTTTCTTCCTCTATTTGACTCAACATCTCGGACAAAAAACAAGGCTACAGTCAACAAAAGGTTTCTACTATGTATTAAGAACTAATGTCTAACTCTTAGGAATGGAAAACGACGATTCAACAGACGTCCACCAGAAACTATCGACCTTCTAACGGACCCTCTTGTCTGTTACTCTATTTCTTGATGACCTTGTGTCACATTAAACGTAAACTTGTTCACCGTGGCATTGACCCTCAAACCCACCGTCCCCTCAAAAACGCCACCCCCGCTACAGATAACAACCGTATTTGCTTGGATTTGAGAAGCTCGACTCCACCATCCAGTAGTACAACTGAAGAAACTCAGCCACATTCCCAGCTTCAGCACGAGCAAAACACTGCCGTTGCAGTTGATCTTGAGCTTTCTATTGGACTTCCTTACTACTCAACACCAGTGCCTAAAGTTCCTGGCCAGTTTTACCGGCCGGTGACGGTGCCACCACTGCGGGCACAGGTGCCAGCTAAAGCAATTTGTTTGTGTTGGCAGTTGGGGCTTCAAAATAGACAGTTGTGCAAGTGCCAAATCAAAGAATAGTTTATATATATGAAGACTTAATAGGTTTTAGATGTTTTGTGCTTTTCATATAGAAAAGGAAAAAAGAATTGTATTATAGTTAATATGTTTCAGTTCGTACATTCTTTTGTTCTTTCTAGTTGACATGTCTTGTATCATAATGTGTCTACTGTAGCATCACCGTTTACAAGTTAATTCTCAATTTTAATAAATTTAGGCTGGATTAATACGTTAATTATTTGCTCAAAATTAGGAAAAAATAAATAATTTCTCATGCAATTCACCGAGTGGTGGTTCTGCCAGTAATGGAACTGGAAATATTCAATTGTGACATGAGTTGGGATATTGGAGGAATGCAAAAAACCTCAGGGTCTTTCATATTCGGCGAACGTCTGGAGAAGCAATAAAACTCGGTTGCAGATTACATCAGCTAGCAAGCAACGATAATTTATTATAGGGATGTTATATATATTTTTTTAAATTTTTCTTTGTCATTTTATTGTGGAAGTGACGATCATCGTACCGTTCGAATTTAGTAACGTGTTCTCATGGTACGGTGATAAGTTTGACAATAAAGGTAATATGCCACGAAGCAAGGAATATTTTAGTTTACCTATTCCAATATTGTAAACATATCTTGGAGGTTGTACTTGTATGTATGGTACCAAGAAATGTGAAAAACGAGAATTTTCTTTAATTTCAATTAAAGATTTTTCATGACTACCAGAGGTCGAAGATAAATACATTTAGCCCGTGTTCTTTCCTCATTTTCTAAATTCATTTTTTTCAATCACATAATTTATGAGATTCATAACTTTTATCAGAATCTTCTTTGACTTTTATCAAAATTTATTAAAATTTGATTTTTTTTAGCTAACAATTATTTAAAGCGAAATATCTATATTGTGATTAAATCCTCCGTACGTTTGATAAAAAATAAAAATTGAATACCTTGATCTTTCAGAATTGTCTTCAACCCTCGAATCTTTTTTAGTATTCTTTTAAGTCCAAATTCTGGGCACCAGGAACAAAAAAACTACTCAAGAATACAAAACTTCTTAATTTCCAGAGATTTGACAAATCTTTATTAGACTTGAATAAGTCTTGATACTTGTCTAAGAATCCATAGATCATACGATTGGCATGACTTTTGAGAATCAAAAGCTGCGTTTGAATTTGTTTGGCAAATTTTATGAAAATGCTTATTCTAGTTGGAGGAGTCGTTTGAGTACAATGCAAATTCCTCTGAATGCACTTTCGGAATAAGAAGTCATTTTAAAAATTAATTTTCAAACAAATATTTTAGTAGCTTCATCAGAGAACTCTTCCGCAGGAAGTAAAATCAAAAGTCATATAAAAAAATCGTGTCAAATTGGCCCGTGGTCACTTAGAAAATTGAAACTAAATTTCTAAGTCACCTAGAACTCTATTTGGCCAAACTTAGGGTCAACGAATTTTAAGTTTCATTTATTAAAATTCGGATTTGACCATCTGATCGACCAGTGGATTGAGAGTCTCTATTACAGTAAAATAAATAAATGTGTAAGCAATTTTGAGCACGAATAATTTAGTATTCGATGCATGAATGGATGCATGAATATAAAATTATAAAAAGTACACCGTGATTCTCCCACTGACTTTAGCTAGCATTGTGGTTCAGTGCAATATGATTTTGTCATCAATTTCAAGGTCGAGAGCCTCTATAGGAGATTTAGGAAGGTCGATTTGTACGTACAATCTTTGTCCATCCAACAATTACCATACATGGCTTTCCTATAAAGAGACCATTCGATTTATGGAAGGGGACTAAACTTTTATTACAAATTGGATCGACAAATGAGATTGTGGGGCTAATTGTGGGATCAGCTCGCGCCTACTCAATATTTTCAATTATTAGATTTTCATTTAAATATAATTTTGTGCAACATTTTCATGGTATTTCATGTCCTTTTTAAATAATAATTCTACGTTACAGGGATGGACACATCACTCAGCGAGGGGTACAACCGTCTGTATTGGATCATCGGAGTCTTCAATTCCATTTGGCGCCTGGTGCTGTTGCAGAGAGAAGATGGGAAGAAGACCAGCTTGGGGCTTTTTTTTTTTTTAGTTTGGCCCTTTTGTTTTGGGCTGCGAGGGTTGGGTATTTAAAAAAGTTTGGGGTTTTTTTTTGGTTTGGCCCTTTCTTCTTGGGTTTCCGTTTCCGTTTCTATTTCAGTTTTTTTTTTTGTGAATACATTTATGAATTTGAAGAAAATAACAATAATTAAGAAGATAAGAGGCTGTTTTCTTTGCCGTTTCCTTCCCATTTTTTGTTTTCAATTTTCCAAAACAGTGAAAATACGTACTTACCTATTTTCAAAAACGATTTTCCAAAAACGAGTTTAAAACTTACAAAGAAAACTAAAAAGTCAAAAATGTCGTTTTTAGTGTTTTCAGTTAAAACCAAGCCAAAATTTTCAAAACGAGATTTGGCTGTTTTCAGTTACGCCACCAACAAAAACCACAAAATCACTGCGACGTTGTGACTCAAAATCACTGCCACCACCACGTAGCCACAACCGTCGCACACCACTGCTACAGCCACAACCGCGACCCAAAACCGTTGCACACCATGCACCCAACCACCACACACCACCATCACACCCAAACCAGCCACCGCATAAAAAAAACGACGAAGAAGTCGGCGATACCACCACTATTCGTCGCGATAGCTCCATCGTAGTCTTCGGCGCCGGTGGCCTTGCGAGGGAGACGATAGAGAAGAGAGGAAGAAGAGAAAGAGAGACGGAAATAAGAAAACAACTTTTCCAAGTTTTTTATTTTTGAAAATAATTTTTCAAAATGACAAAAAAACATATTTTTAACAATCTCAAAAATGAACACACAAAATACAAAACCCAAATGAATTCAAAACTCAAAACTGAAACACGAAAAGAACAGCTCCTAAGCATTTCAATTTTCAGTTTTTCACCTATTAGTGGTAGGCTAGCTCGTCTCTGGCCTTTTTACAGTTTTAAATAACTTTTGAAAAATTTGGTTGATTTTTTTAAAAAAAATTTAGCTATATTTTTCTTTCCATACCCCCCCAGACTCTGGATTCTGTAACAGCTTGACATTTGTCAAAAATTATTGCCACGTTTCAACTTCTGGCTTGCCCAAGATGGTGGAGGATTAGGCAGTTAACTTTCAACCTCTTTACTCTTTCACTGGATACTTACTTCCGTCAGAAGGCTTAATTATGATATGCAACCAACGGTAATTTCTTGGATCAAATCATTAAACCAATGAATAGTTTAATTTCTACGGGTTGATGATTAAATTTGAGTGATTTTTTTTTTAAAATCAAGTGGTTAATATGAATACTATTAATGCTTGTGATAGATTCAGTGAAAGGTTTTAAGTGACTTATTTAATTATTCATCTCATATAATATCAAATTAGTGTCATCACCACTACCCGTTGCGACAGCTCCATCGTGGTCTTCGACGCCGGTGGCCTTGCGAGGGAGACGATAGAGAAGAGAGGAAAAGAGAAAGATAGACGGAAATAAGAGAACAACTTTTCCAAGTTTTTTATTTTTGAAAATAATTTTTCAAAATGACAAAAAAACACATTTTCAACAATCTCAAAATGAATACACAAAATACAAAACTCAAAATGAATTCAAAACTCAAAACGAAAAACTGAAACACGAAGGGAACAGCTCCTAAGCATTTCAATTTTCAGTTTTTCACCTATTAGTGGTAGGCTAGCTCGTCTCTGGCCTTTTACAGTTGAGAAACAAGTTGATGTGACTTTGATTTGTGAATTATATCAACTAGTGAGTAGTGATTAGTGAAAACGATGGATGGATTTGTGATTTGTCAAGATGTTAGATGTTGCATGTTGTCGGACTGGACAGTTGAAGTGTAACGAGTATTGGATTGTTGGAATAATTTTAAGTTTTAACTACTTATTACTTATTAGGCCCCTGTTTGGCCCCCACTTTGGAGTTTTGAAATTTTTTGAAATAGTGATTGATGGGAGAATGTGTGGTAGAAAAGTAATGAAAAGTTTTAGATTTGTATGTAATATTATTTTATTTGATGAATATGTGGTTGAAATGAAGAGAAAAAAATAGGCTGTGTTTGATACGCTTAGTTTTCTAGGGAAGTTGGAAAATAGATTCCATTTTCCAGCTTTATGGTTGTTTGATATGCTTAGTTTTCTAGAGAATTTGTTTTCCAAGTGACCACTTCACGCGCCTCTTTACTTGCTTTTTAAGGAATATGTTTTCCTTTGGTTTTGGTATTATTAGATTGATACCGTTTTAATTAAAACGATTTTTACAGATTATAGAACGATTTTTTCAACCTAAACGGAAGTCTATACCTAATTCATCTACTTCTAGCTTTGTATCTAGTCCTGCCACTGCTTCTAGTCGAGCACGTGAATTGTTAAATAACACAAAGAAATCTCGAGTTCAATTTAATGTGGATGATCTTATTTTTTATCCAGGGAAACGTCCCCCCATCGAGTCATATGATCCTAATATCAGAGATGATATTAGGATCACATACTTACGAGATGATTTTGGGCTGTATTGAATTATATTTTCATATATATATATAAATTTTACGTTTTAATGCATTTACATATATATTAAATAATTTTTAATATTATTTAATTCAATATAAATAAACAACGTCACTCTTAAGATCGCTGATTGTCGACAGTCAATGGTCAAAGATCAACATTTGGTCCGCCCGTGCTGAACTTTAATACTGGGTCCGCCACTGTCTATGTATTTCATCATGTTGCTTTTTTTATTTCCGTGTTCATGCAATTTCGGCTACAAGTAAATAAAGATAAACATTATCTTTTCTTCTTTCCATTACTCTTATCGTTCTGATGTGGAAGTCATGGCTGTGGTTGCCTCTTAGTGTTTGAATTGTAGCTAAGGTTCTTAATTGTATATTTATCGTCCACGAGAATACTTTTACAATAGATGCATGTGCCATGGCGGGAGGAATATGTCCATTTCCATATAATAAATATGTGAATACTAGATAAGCCTTTGATGCATCTCAAGAAAATCTAGCCTAACTTTTGGTCAAAAACTCAATTTCTCGTCAACGAAATCATACTCGGAAGACCGATATTACTTTTCAAAGCGAAAACAAAATTTTGAGCAAAATCCATCATTTGAGGGGTTGAATTTTGAACAACCATTTTGTTATTTTATCAAAAGTAATAGCTTATTTTTTTTAGCAATTTTAGGATTTTGTTTTCATAATTAATTCGTGAGGGCTACATTTTCAATTGCTTAGATATAACCCTCTAAGCTAGCCAAATATATAATTGAATAAAGAATAAAAATTCAAACTTTCTCAATTTTTTTGTCAACTAATGATGTTTTGCATGAATCAACAAGTTATCTTACATATTTTTCGAGTCAAAGAAACATGTTTTGCTAAACACGATTTCATAAGAACCATATTTTGACTTTTATGTAAAGAATCATTAACAACAATTTTCATTGAATGAATAAAGAATTCAAATCAAATAAAAATTAAAGCACGTCGATATATATGACATCATATCAAGACGAACACGACGTTTTACATAAGTTGAAGATCATGTCTTAACGTCTTTTCGAGCAAGAGCCACCCTATCTCTTAATAGTACTCCTATTATTACTATCAAAAAGATTAAATCCGTTATGAAAGCTGTTCATTAATCTCGTACTTCACAAAATTATTTTACGTTTTCATTTCACAATGAGATTAGAAACATTATGCCTTTTTTGTAGCTACACAAACTAACAAGATAATCTTTAATATTGTGAATTATTATATATTTGCAAGTTTGAATAGACATTTGCTTACGCACCATATCTATGACTTGTGTGTTTTCTCAAATTGAAAAAGTCATCACCTGCAAATATTAATGTCCTATTTTTCCCTATAAATAGCTGAAAATATTTTGCACTAAGCATAATTAAGAAAGCATGGCTAATAGCAAAGTTGGCATCTTTACTCTCCTACTAATTTGTGGTATGTTTCTATTGCCTTGTTTCATTTAATCTTTCTGTGTATCTATATGTCAAATTATGCTTTGTCGACCTTTTCTTTTTGTGACATATGTTTAGTATATAGTACTAAACGGACAAGATGTCGACATAGTTTTCTTTGTTAACCTTAAAGTTTTTTACTTAATTACTCTTTTCTTATTTTGCTTGTGATTTCTGTAACAGGGTTGTTTTTCTTGGGAAGCAATGTGGAATATGCTGAAGCCAAAACAAAAATCTGCACACGAGAGTGCCTAAATGTTGGCTACATGACTTGCCCCTCTTCAGGCCCCAAGAAGCTTCATCCAAGCTGCACAAACTGTTGCTGAGCACAGAAAGGTTGCAAACTTTATAGATCTGATGGAACCCTAATTTGTACTGGAACCTAAATGGAGAGATAAATCTTGAATAATAAACTGCGGTATATCGTTTGCGTAATAAACGAAAAATAAATTCAAGATACTTCTATCGTTGTTTCTTGAGAAATGAATAAAAAGATTCAGGTTTAATTACATCAATGACTGACGTTATTTTTTATGTAGCTTTATTTAACGAGAACAAGACTATCGACGAAGACTTGGCAAAAATTTACTTTATTCTTACTATGGTCACTCAACTCCATGTAATTCAACTGCTGCATCACCTGGTATATATAGGAATCCTTATTTGCTTCAAAACGAGTAATAACTACAATTAGATTCTCTAATACAATTTAATAAAACATTGAACATAATCAAAAAACCACAAACAAAAACAAAAATCATTGGTCTATCACATGGGATAAGAGATAAAGAATCTGCGCTTTTCAGAAAGTGAAATTCTTAAGGAAGATAGGATGTTGCAAGCAAAAGATGACTATTACTTTCAGTTTTGTTTCTTCTGCTGCAAACTTTATTCGACATCGTTAATGGAAAATCTTCTGCTTTAACTTGAAAGACTAAATTGAGAGGTAATAGTCTTCAATTCTTGCATCTCATAGAAGCATGTCGGACTTGGATGGCAATCTCCTGAAGAAGTTGATAGGTACTGCTGGCAATTTAGACCTGTTAAAGATGTAATTTACATAAATAAAATTTCGGTTTTAGACGAAAAGATTTAACGTAGTATTGAAGCAGACAGACGGTTGTATTGAGTTCATTGTCACTCTTTTATGGAAAGTATGCACATATTAGGCCTTGATAATACAAAAAAAGTAACATATGAATGAGGAGGTGTATTGAAAACATAATTGAAGTAAATAATTAGATAGTCTGTTTTCTAATTGTTAGGCTTCTGGATAAAGTGGTTCAGTGTACCTGAATCTAGGATGGCGTAACACATAAATCCCAATGATTACTGCCACGATTTGGAACGGAGTAATGTATAAAAACACGGCACAGATCAATGAAAAGAGGATGAATAGAGCCGTAGCTCTAGGGTCCCTCCAGCTCAATACGGCAAGAACCCTCTCTCCTTGTGTTGCCAAATCACCAACCGCAGTCTGGACTTTGCCTGCGACGCTGCGCAACCTGTCATACCTGTTGAAGACAAAATAATAGTTTATATACTTGTAAGGCTTGTTGGCCTTGAAAACAAAATTTAAATAAATAATTATGTGTCTGCTTTAATGGATATTTTAGAAAGGTGGCTCAACATACCTCATTTTCACAATATCTGTCTGCCTGGAAGTCGGGAATGAGTCGAATTCCTCGTCGACTTCGTCTGGATGAGCTATATCTGCTTGTGAAAGCTGGGCATCCATATAAGGTGGATGCCTCGGCCTGAATCGGTAGTTCCATAATCCGATAACAAACAGGTAGAGGAAAAATGTAGGCAAAATAAGTTCCGGGTAGCAAATCAATATAAAGAACAATATATGAACAAGAATAGTCGTCATGGGGTTTTTCCAGTAACAGATTCCATCAAACCATCTGAGAACGTACGAAATCCCATTCATAAGCACCATTATCCGGGAAAAATACGCTTTGCTACGCCGTAGACTCCATGCATTGTAATCCACATCCAACATGTACTCCACAGTCTCTCCCCTGAGCGGCGGCTCCGCCCTGGCGAGCTTCTTAACAACTATATCTGTTGCCTGGTGGCGCAGCCACTCGATATGGCGGAGAGAAATGGGATGAACATAATGCATTTTTGGAAACAATGGCTTTCTATATTGTGCAATCATGTTTACCCAGGCAGTGCAGGTGAACCGAATTGACAGATGGAGTTCGCCATTTTTCTTTAAACCAGAAGGTTCAAGTACAAGCAATGGATAAAAATGGGTGTAAATTTGATCAGTTTCTAATGTTGAAAGCCTGATTCTTATCTTTCCAATTCTTTGATCTTTGGCATCTTCTTTTCCAGTTATGTGGCAATTATCAAAAACGCCAATTGTTATTACTGTGCATAGATCAAAAACTTCCCACGTATATTGTTCATTCCAACGAGGATTCAGGGTGTCGGCAAGAGTTCTTGTTCTGACCCACTTGGTCCCGTACTTTGCTATACAATAAGCATCTGTAGTTTCATCTGTTTAGGACACGAGACTGAGGTGGTTCAATACAATATTAAAGGAGACAGAGATCATGATCCAGATCGAGTATTGTGCCAACTCATTCATGAAAATTATACCAATATCATGAATTTGATCAAAGATAAACAAGGGACATACATATAAGAGGATGCTTTGTAAACACGATTCATACAAAAAATGGATTAACTGTATTCCCTATTTCCCTCGTCTGTAGTTCAAGACTGTTGATATTAGTTGATTGTTGATTTCGAAAAATAAATAAAAAATAAGTAAAAGGTTAAAAACAATGTTATTCATCCAACTTATAGCCTTAAAAGACTCTGATCACTTAAACTTTTTTTGATATAAGGTTAGTCATTGAGCTTCTTTTTTGTTTTAATTCAGCAAAGAGAGTTTAGTTTACTAAACGGAAATAAAATTAAACTACTAACTTAAAGCATTGAAACAATGTTATAGGTCGAATGATTAACAATTCTAAAGAGACAAAGTGATTCAACATTACCGTCTTTACCTTTCATTGGCAACAGATTCTGAGCTCCCAGAAATCCCACCTCAAGAATTCCGACGGGGGATTTCCTCAAAATCTTTGCTGCTGGCTGAAGATCACTACTAAAATGTTGAGATTCATCAAGAACATGGTAACCGGCATCAATCCATAGTCGAAGAAGAATTCGTGTCCTAAATGTTCCTTCTTTTCTATGCATGTCACTTTCTTCCTCAGCCACGTACGGCTTATAGAGGCTAAACCACTCAGCATCAGGAAGTTTAGAAGTTTCAAGCCGATGTTTAAATTCTCTAACTGATTTCATCAGCATTCCAAGAACTTCTTCTTTTCCCCCTCCACTTTCTACAACACTGAAGACCATATACTCATCAAACGGCTCGTATGCAATGAACATCAGTTCCTCATTCCATTCAGGATTGATATGTTTTATTGGAGAATTCCTCGTTACCCTGCCTTGATCGCCAAGCTTTATCCTGACAGACGTTTCTAAATTTCGACCTTTATCACTGGGAACAAGATCCTGTGCTGCAATAACATGTACTCGGAGATAATACAATTTTGGTGAAAAATAAACCTTTGATCGCGTATCAGTAAGGCTTGTTTGGTTCATGCTATGAGAATCAGAATGCCAGGCTTCAGGGAATGCTTCATCTGCTTGTGTTCCCATCCAAACAGCAAGCATGATTTCACCGTTGCTCATTTGCTGCCCTGTCTTCTTCTCCAACCTATACCTGTTGAAGAAGACAAAATTTAAGTAAAATAAACGATTTTCTCTACTAGCAATTTATACTTTTAAATGGAGTGGTTTAAATAATGAATTTCATCTGCACATGTGAGGGTGCGTTGATTTGAATAACTAGATATGTTCACTCTATGAGAGAGTAATTATTTAGATGAGGTAAGTAACGATACCATTGTGGTGCAAGAGGACTATCTGGTGGCACGCGATCAGGCACTTCCGCGATATCGAACACAATTCTCCCTACAAAATCATCCTTGGCTACATCTTTATCCTTGACAGTGATTTCAATCAAATGGGATTGTAGTCTTTCCTTAGCAAATGCGAAAACTTTGTTCCAGACAGGATTCTGATTTTTCTCGAAATGATTAGTCACCCCTTTGTAATTCCCAATTCTCACTTCAACATATGGGTCAAGACTCCCTGATATGTCCATTACTGGAAGATCATTAGCCTTGACAACATTAACATACAAAAAATTCATCTGTTCAACTAAATCGTAGGTGCTCGCAGTCTTGTCCCGTCCCCAGTAGCCCATCCGTGCAGCCAATGGTGGCCTAGTCTCCACCAGTGCATACTCAGGTTTCTGCCCTGGAAACTGCATATGCATTGCCCTGGAAAGATCACTCTTGGATTCAATTATCACAGGCTTTTCTGCAGGATTCTCCAAAACGTCTCCTAATGAGTGAAATGTCCTCAAATCTTTTTCCTTCTTTTTCTTCTTGTTTCTCTCGCGAAATTCCATATTTTTCAGATTCTGCATTTCTTCTGCTGCTGCTGCCTGAAAAGACTCCGTCTTCAGATTTTCAGTCCCGTGCAGTACTGCATAAATCTTCAAAGAAATGTCACCTTTTATATGCGAAAAAATCCCTCTTTTATCAAGAGGGTAGCGCTGGATCATTGGTTCAGATTCAGAAGAAGGAATAGACATCCCAGAAATTCTAACTTTTCCAAGAAAATTCTTGTAATGACCATGCTTATTATCATTGTAAACAAGAACTTCGATGGTTCTGTTTGGAAGATTTCTCAGGTTTTTTATATCGAAAACGAGTTTTTCATTCCACGAAGGGTTGAGAGTTTTAAGCTTTGTTGAGGTTCGTTGGCGCTGTTCATCAAAATCTACTTCTACAAAGGGATTGGCTGAGCCATGTCCATCTTTCGGCATCAAATCACTGGCTTCAAGAACTTCAATCACAAGTTTTGCCATCAAATTATGTCGCTGGAAATTTAGATGAAGAAGCTATGGTTTAAGAAAGAGAAGGTAAACAAGAATGGGAGAGATTGAGAGAGTTAGGATCAAAGAAGACTGGAAGAGTAGTAGGAAAATAGGGACAGGAAGAGAAGTGCAGAACTATTTTGAGTACTGATGCACAAGTTTGTAATTTTTACTTCGATCATGTTGTTGGTAACGGTGATCAAAACTAATGGTCACTTCCACACGACTAGCAACATGTGTGACCTGGCACTTACTTGACGTTAAATCGATGGAGAATTGAATAAAGGCAAATTTAGAATTCCTTATTCAGTCCTCCAGATTTTACGTAGTTGGCAAAACTGTTATTCAACATCAAACAAATGTCAAATAATGCATTTGCCAGCATATATATGTGGAATTGCCCGTTAGTTTAGGTCACAATTATAGATAAATGATGAAATTGAAACAAAATTTAAAAAATAGAATAAAAATGTTGAGCGATTCAAATGGAATAAATTAAAAATGAATGAAGAATGTGAAATTAACATGCAAATTGAGTAGAGTTTAAATCTGTTATCCTCGAAAACGCATCTTTTTCACAGTTATTCTTTAGAACTTTGTACGAGATGGTGGCGCGTACATGGGGGTGGTGACTCGATATTATTCTGGTGGAAGAAAAGTTTAATTAAAAGGTGGTACTTTTCCATAGATTCATTCCAAGAAAAACTTTCAAAAAAGAAATTCTTTTCTTTTACTTGGATAGATCACCTTTTTTAAGGGAGGGTTCATATTTATAAATAAGATGGCGAGTTCACCAACATGATTTTGTACCATTTTTGGAAACATAATCAAAGAGGAGAGACACGGGGATTATATTTTGTCTTCTGAAGTCTTTGAATCAAATATGACGTGAGATTTCAGTAGTTGACAAAGTTAATATAAAGGAAAATCTTATATCCCGACAATGAAGCTGCTACACAGGATTGTGTTATTGATGTTATAAATAGTCGGATAGGAGATTTCGACTTATTTTCTTTTTGAATAATATAAACCCCAATTAATGACAAGAAAATATGTCCCCATACCAAGACCTACGGACATGTAAGTTCTCTGCGACCCCTACATTAGACTTGAAGTCCCCTTACACGTTAAATGGTACAAAATGTACTGATGCATTGACGCCAGGGTCAAATATCCAATAGTAAATTTTTTTTTTCAAAAGTAGATGAATAAGCATAGTAATCTAATTCATGTGACCACGATTCGTCTAGAGGCTTAGCTCGGCTCTCAAAGTTGTGGGTCGAGCTATTCATTTTTTTGAAAAAATGAGGCTCAACACTGTATGTGTTGAGTCGAGTGATCTCTGAAATCAACAAATGTTGTTCGATTTTCAATTTTCATTTTGAATCTAAACAATACAAATGAGACAGAAAAAGGAGAAAATGTCATATTAATTCGTATACAGACTTAGGAAGTTAGTTTAGGTTAGACTCGACCCATCTATGTACAAATCAACCCACGACACAACATGTCACGTATTATGTTGAATTTAGGTCGGACCGAACAAGAGACCAACAATCTTAAATGAGACAATCCATCTTACAATTCTAGATTACACCTTAGAGCAGTGTTTTCCTTCCCCATTGTACCAAAGAAGCATAAAGAAGAAAAGGTATTCTAGAATCTGGCCAACTGGGTTCAATATTTTGTCTGAATATGCAACTTTTTTATGAATTATGTTAAGAATATTCTGCAGTAGATAATGCCTCTGCTTTCCAGTGGTCCTGTGGCATCCTCCTTTGGTTTTTTTGTTTTCTTATGTTAAAAGATTATTAAAATTATCTCAGGGTAAATTTTGTCTGAGGTGATTGAATTTTCAGCAGAATCTCAATTGAATAAAAAAAATTTAATTTGTCACAATTAAGTATGTTTCAAATTTTCACTCTCACTTCTTGTTCCCCAAGTTGTTGATAATAATTTATTTGGCAATAATACTGCAATAGATATTCTACCTAATCGCTTCGTGGCATGACATTGTATCATTGTGTTGTGTCACAAAAGTGATATGTCCAATAAAAAAACACATTTTTTTTACTTTTATGTTTAATGCTTAAATATTCGTGTATTTCTTGATAAGTGGATTATATTTGGAGTAAAATTGTAAATTGTAGTATTTGCGTCGTCCGGGTTACCTTAACAATTTTCTTACTCATAAAACAAGTTCGAGGATTCCCAGAATGTCATTGCAATACATTTTTGTTACTTTTAATTATTTGTAAAACAGCCTAATATTATGCTGCAATATATCAAGGAAGCCCATAATAGTACTCGAGGAACTTTTTTTTTCCTTCCTCGATCAAGATGAGAAATATAGGGATTCAAATGGATCGAATAGAAAAATGATATTAAGAATCATAAAACTATAATGAAATATAATCGACCAACATTATTTGATCCTATTACATAAATTTGAGATCCGACTCGTATAGACGTAGATTGTTCGATGAAGATATGGGATCAACAATTATTAAGAACATTTCGTTATGGAGTAGACTACAAGGGATATGAATGATATATGACGAAATCATCAATGAAATAAGCTTGTAAAATAGTTTTATCATCAAGTTATAGTTTGTCGAAGACGGCATAGTTTCGAGAATATTAGTGCCTTCGGGCCATACAAATCCCCCTTCGTGGTCAAAGGTTTTTGTAAGAGTAAAACCCACATTAGTTAACATATAAAACCAATAATGTTCTCAAACGAGCCACCGTCTTGCAACGACATGTTAAAGGTAAATCCCAAATCAATTAGACATAAAAATATAAATCAACATATAATGCTCAAACTATTTTAATAATGTTTACCTTTTAGTGACACTAATCAAACTCACAACTATATTATGATTATTCTCAATTTTGAGATCGTCACAACTAGCCAATTTACGGAACAATTTTAGCGAAAACACAGTCAAACCATAAGTAGAATTATTATGCCTCCACCTCGACATCACGGAGTATTTGGATTTCCTGATCCTGTTTGATTACTATAAATCAATTAGATACAAGCATGAGGATGACTTGGCTACCTCACATCTAGACTATACATTGAGAGAAAGAGTTAGAAAATACTACTTCCATTACTAACAATTTCTCTAATAGTCGTACGAAAATAGATGTGTTTTCCTAAAATTGCAATGGCAATGCAGAGATGGATGTGCTTTCCTATATATGTGTTAGTTTCACGTTGATTCGGGATTTCAAGAATTGGATCTCGTCAACAAAGGACCGTTCTCTTTGTATTTCAGTTTTGAATTTTGAATTCATTTTGGGTTTTGTGTTTTGTGTTTTGAGTGTCAATTTTGAGATTGTTGAAAATGTGTTCTTTTTGACATTTTGAAAATACTCAAAACGCGATTTGAAACTTTTGACTTGATTATAACTGAAAACATTCAAAACGACAAATTTGTCATTTTGAATTTTCTTTGTAAATTTTTAATTTGTTTTCAAAAACGCGTTTTCAAAAATAGGAAAGAGAACGCATTTTACTGTTTTGGAAAATCGAAAATAGAAAATTATTTGAAAATGGTAAAGAGAACATTTGATTGTATTTGTACCTTCTGATAAGTATAATTTTTATACTTATTTGTAGTCCTCTGCTTGTACTATTGTAATGCAATACTGAAAGAAAAAAACAAATATGGAAAAGTGGAATCGACATTGAAGGAAGTAAGGGTCTGTTCTCTCCGTGTTTCAGTTTTGAATTTTAAATTCATTTTGAGTTTTGAGTTATGAGTGTATATTTTGAAATTGATGAAAATACGTTCTCTTTGTCATTCTGAAAAAATGTTTCTCAAAACTTAAAAATGAAAAACGCATTTATTTGGAAATTTTGAGAATATTTTTTGATAATAGTTTCTACAGAAAACCACCACAAAGCCGCCACCACTAGAATCACCACTGCCAACCAAAATCAACACCACCACCACTGCCATCGCCACCACCAAAATCAACACAACCAGTCACCACCACCAACACAACCAG